AGATAGGTTAGACTCAAAAATTGTCATCTTGAATGACCTTGGACCTTGTACAATACATGTTCTTTTTGACTGGGTGTTCAAGACTCAAATCCCTATTTAGCAGGAGATTTACTGAATAATGATTTTTCTCCTTTTTCAAAATGTATAGGCATGTAAATAAATATTTGTCAAAATTAAAACAAAAAGGCCTAGCTTGGTTACTATGGCAGCAGTGAACTACTCCCCCCACCCAAAGTAAGAAGCATCATTAAAAAAGAGAGGGTTTAGAATAAAAACTCTTTATATAAAAAAGGTCTCATGGCAAACACTTCCCTTAAGGTTTCAAATAGTGCTCAGTCTTGTGCAGAAATCCCCTGTCTACAAAACTAGAACTATGAAGGCATTCTTCACACAGAACAGCAAGGACAAGCGAGTTAATGTGAACATGGAAGCAAAATGCATGCAATTAATAATACAGTAGGAAATATCTATCTATCTATCTATTTATTTATTTATTTATTTATTTATTTCATTTCATTTCTATCTCGCCTTTCACGACTCGAGAGGGGACTCAAGGTTGCTTACAAATCTGGCAAAAATTCGAAGCTGCACGGGTAAACAGTAAAATACATTTCATAAAAATATAAACAACCTAAGCATATAAACAATTAAAACTCATAACAATCTATCAAGCAGATTAAAAACCACATAAAAACTGCCGAGTCATGATCTCATGTCCAAATTGTTTTCCAAAATACATTCGGACAAATAAGTTGGACAAGAACCATATAGGGCTTTGTAGGCCAAGATCAGCACTTTGAATTGTGCTCAGTAGTGGACTGGCAGCTAGCGGAGCAGACGTAACAGAAGAGTAGTATGTTTCCTATATGCCACCTCAATTAGAAATCTGGCTGTCTCCCGATTTCACCCAGGCAAGCATCTTTTTTCACAAGCAACCAGCACCACCTCATCACAAGGTGCAGACTAGGAAAAGACTTGAGGCCTGGTTTTTTTCCTGTTTGTTTATAGTTTATAAGCACTCTGCCTAGCCACCAAAATAAGCAGAAAGAGCAATCATATCTACTGTTGAAACTGAACAATGCACTCCACCAAACAAGCACCCACCAGTACCACCTTTTCATTTAACTGTATCTAGGAGTGTAGGTAACAGGTGAGCAGGGAAGCATCCATTCAGGCCAAGGAAGCAGTATAAATCCCAGCCACACCACTGGGTGATGCTGAGTGTGTTGGTGTTCATGATAAACACTGAGATTGTAGGCTCAGGTCCATTCCCCATGGCAAAACACATGAATGTGTGTGTGTGTGTGGGGGGGGGGGGGGGGGGGGGGGGTGAGAATTGGACTGCAACTTTCTGCATGCCCAGCCAGCATGGTCACAGCATTGGCTTTGCTGCCTAGGGGTTTCTAGGAGCTGTAATTCAAAAATGACTGCTTTCAAGCAACATGTAGAATATCAGCTGTGACCTCCTTCCTAACCTGCTGCAGGCAAGCATTTCAGGTAGACTCCTGGCTGCAGGAGATGTGAAAGCTATATTGAACCTATTGTGGGCACATAAATGATGCACTTGAAAGGGGTTCATGGTTTTTCAAAGCACTCAGCCCAAGTGTTGACAAATGTTCAACCCATTGCAAGTCTAAAGGATGCCTGTGAGTCACCAAATCGAATGCACTCAGCCACTCCAGGCATTTTTCAGATATCTAACAATTAAACCCAACCCCTTTAAAAAGATACAGAATGTATAAAGGAAAAGGCAGACAGAGTATAACTGAGCTGGGTGTGGTGGTGGAGAAACTATGACCCAGATACTTCAGCTAAGACTAGATTTTACTTTTCGCAGTTCTTTCCAGATGTTCATAGCAACTCAGATCTCCCCTGAATATGCTCCACAACCCACTTGGGCTTTTCTCAGGTATCAAGAGGATTGAGAGAAACCAGGGCAGCCAGAAATTATCTTAGTTGATTGAAAAACAGTCTAATTTACCTGTGAAAAATACAGGAATCATTAAACACAAACACTTCTCTTGGGTATCTTTTTCCTGCAGCCAATTACACACTCCCTGATCAATAAAACACTTCCGGACAGCTCCAGATGTCCTAACAATATGTAATACAATACATTCTGCCAGCACTGAATGATTTTTTTCCTGTCTAATTACCAAGAGGTTTATCTTCTGTTGACTTAAGAACTATGGGAGGAGACAAAATAAGGGTGTTTCCTTCCACAACATTGTATTGCTCCCCAATAAAATGTTCTTTCAATCCCCACATGTCTGGCATTGCAGAAACTTAAAAGTTTAGGTAAGCATTTCAAAATACTGTCGGCCCTCAACATCAGTGCGTTTAACTTCTGTGGATTTGATTATTCATGCATTTGATGAAAAGGTTATCTCTGGGAATCTCTGAGTCCTCCAGTGTGATTCTGTACTCAGTTTCCATCAGATATTGACCAAAGAGTCATGCCAGAACACCAAGAGATTACTATAGGCATATAGATAAAAATAGAAAATATTTATTCATGGGTTTTTCACTTTCATGTGGATCTTGTGTCCCTAATGCAACAAATATTGATAAAAATAGAAATTATTCATGGGTTTTTCACTTTCATGTGGGTCTTGTGCCCCTAATGCAACAAATGTTGAGAGCAGACTGTACAATTTAGGGAAAGTCAACATTTCCAAAGGAATAGAAACATAGCAAATTGAAGAACTGTAAGCATGAACAATGTTCAGTGTCTCATTCTTTGCTCTTCCATGCTAGCAATGAAGGGACTAAAGTAAAATCTAACTGAGAGGAGTTCTTATTTGGGGGAATAATGCCCTTCATTTGTCCTCCCGGTAGCCAGTATGCTTGGATCTTGTTATACTTGGTCTTCAACGCAGGACTCATTAAAGCAACAAGTTGTGCCAATTGGAAATAGTGTACACCACTATAGAGCTAAAGTAAGGCACCAAGAGTCAAATCATTATTAGAATGAGGAGAAAAGTATCTGTGGTGGAAAAGGGAATCCAGAATTAAATTTGGCATACCACATTTAAGATAGGCTGCAGTTTGCATTTAAGAGACAAAGGCTATAGTTACTCTTTCTTGTCCTTGCAAAGATGCTGAGCTGGCAGATTTTAATGATAAGAGGTGAGAGGGGGAAATAACAGAAGAAACCAGTAATAAATCTGTTCAAAGAGACCAAAGCACAAATTTCTAGTTCTAAGAGTGAGCAGATGGGACAAGCAGAAGCATTTGTGTATTTTTAACAGGAATCAGTATGCTCATCTGCAGGCCCATTCCTCGGGCTCCTGGAGAACTGCCAAGGCAGGCTGTTCATTACAAAAAGCTGAGTTTTCCCCCAATGCCTCTGTGTCTTCCAATACAAATAGTACCAAACAACTCTGAAGAAAACACATCAACATAGCTAGGCGGGAACAACTTCCCCCAATTGGGTGTCTTACAACTGCTTTGGACCTCAATTACCACCAGCTCCCACCAGCATGACAAACGTGAAGACTGAATTCGGAAGGCCAGTATGCAACTTTGTGGTTGGCACCTAAAATAAGCAAAACAATGAGCACATTTTAAGAAGCTGAGCACATATCTCCCATTGTGTCATAATGATTCAAAACAGGAGTGGGAACTATGCAATGCTGAGGTGTTGATACCTCTGAACTCCACAAATCCATTTTAATGTAGCTTTTATTTGACAAATTAGAGGCAGTCCCTGAGTAACAAACATTTGACTTACAAATAATTCATAGTTACAAATGGGAGTAAGACAACAGAAAGTGAGAGAAATGTACCCCCAGGAAGGGAAAAATCACTCCTGAAAGAAGAATCATGGCGAAAAAGGTGTCTCCACTGAAGCTTTATCTCCAAGCCTTGTTTCCACAATAAGCCAAAATTTTCAAAATCAAATTATCATAAGGACAGAAAGTGAGGTGAAATCTTCTGAACAGGGGCACAGACAGCAAAAACAAAAAACACCACAGGAGTACTTACGCTTCTCTGCGCTATCCAAAGCATGTGTATGTGTGTATATATGTATGTATGTATGTGTGTGTGTGTGTGTATGTATATATGTAGCTGTAAAGTAAAGGTAAAGATTTTCCCCTGACATGAAGTCCAGTCATGTCTGACTCTGGGATGTGGTGCTCATCTCCATTTCTAAGCCAAAGAGCTGGCATTGTCCATAGACACCTCCAAGGTCATGTGGCCAGCATGGCTGCATGGAGCGCCATTATGTTACCGTAGTTACATTTAAAATGTATCTTTTTCAACTTACTAACAAATTCAACTTAGGAACAAACATAAAAAACTTATCTTGTTCATAACTTGAGGACTGCCTGTACCCTAGGAGATGCAGTGTGTCAGTTGTCCACTATTTCCCAAAAGAGCAGCAAGTTGTCATCCAAATCATCCCAAGATCATTCCTAGGCAGTGGACCAGGGATCAAGAGGAGCAGAAAAAGGCCCTCTAATAACAACATGCTATTCATTACTACTAAGCATCCTCCATAGGATGAGCTGGCCTCTTCCTCTTTAGAACTGACGAAGAGGAAACTGGTAACATAATTTACTAGGGAACTCATCACATTTGCTGCTGGAATCACCACGAATTGTGACAAGTGTCCAGCGAGAAGCACAAATAATCCATCACCCCATGTCCTGCATTGTAGGACTTACTCCTAACCCCATCCCATGGGGGTGAAGCGTCCTCTGCCCAGCTTCCCCTCTTGTTGCTAATGCAACACAGGAAACCTCCTGTGTTGTTGGCATGGTAGCATATGCTACTTCTTCCATTTTACTACGTAGCCCTGCTAGAAGTATCTGTATATTGTGGAATAGGAGCCGGCAGGCTCTATGGCAAATCTGTAGAGGAACCAGCATATGCAGCTGAATTTTGGCCCGCTTGATGAGGTCATAGTACAAAGCAGTAAAGCACTGTTAAATCATTGAGACCTTACAAGTCTCTATAATATCCACCACACGTGAGTCATTTGCTACATAATGTACCTTCTAACACCACCTCCTTGCCAGTCTTCTTCAGGGCTTGGACAGCCTCATCATGTGTAGCATCGGAGAGGTCAGCACCATTGACCGAAAGAATGGCATCCCCTACAAAGAGTGCCTCCGTCTGATCTGCAGCCAGCCCTTTAAAGATTTTGGAAATCAGGATGGGCATTTTATTTTCTCGACCACCTGGAAATAAAACAAAGAAGATACTTGATTACAAAAAAAAAAAACCATGGAGAATGAAAACATATAATGTAAGGCAATATCCAAAGTATGCATGAACATCTGCTTTGTTTCTGACACTCAGTTGTTTAACTGGAAATCAAAAGACAGGATTTTTTTCAAAGATGCCATATTCTTTAAGTTTTCAAATTCACCACCCACATAGACAGTTAGACTGTGGCCCATATACAGTTCTCTTGGCCTGTTTTACGGGCCTGGTGATGAACTCCAGCCATGTAGTGATGCTTTTCAATATATGAAATGCATTTTTGTACTAACTGCATTTCTTAACTTCACACTCACATGTATAGGAACCTCCGGTGGCACAATGGATTAAACCCTTGTGCCGGCAGGACTGAAAGCTGACAGGTCAGAGGTTCGAATCCGGGGAGAACACAGATGGACTCTCTCCGTCAGCTTCAACTCCCCATGTAGAGACATGAGGGAAGCCTCCGACAAGGATGGTTAAATATCATAACATCCAGGCATCCCTTGGGCAACGTCCTTGCAGATGGCCAATTCCCTCACACCAGAAGCGCCTTGAAGTCTCTCAAGTCGCTCCTGACATACACGCATACACAAAAACCTCTCATGCATGTTAAGTCTTATACAAACACTTTTAGGAAGACTCTCAATCTGTTTTCATATTTTTGTTTGTCCTCCAAGTTCTAATTAACAGACAAATTATTCTGTCTTAGCATAGCAAGATCATACATCCAAGAACCTATGATGCTGCCATGTTCACTTTGACCAGAAAACCCAAGAAGGTTAGAAGTAATGTGAGAAACCTCTTTGTTTTGCGAACTAGATCTCTTCCAACTTAAAGGAGGACAGAGAAATCATCATACCTGACAGCTTGCACTATCTAAGTTAATCTTCTAGCCCTAACAAATACTTTTTGAAAAGCTTTCAAAAGTCTAGGACAGTGCCTTCACTCTGTGGGAAATTGATGTCAGATGTTTTATTTCCATGGTATAGTCACAGGAAAACATATTGCTGATACTGTATTCCATACATTGAGTCTTTTTTTCAAAACCACTACTGTGCCAAAAGAGAAAACACATCACAGAATTATTGAATGAACCAATCGTAACACACAGTGCTTAAAGAGCTAAAATACTGGATATTTTTTAGAAGTTTCAAGTGACTTCTTGAGTGCCTTGTGCATGCAGCTGTCATCATAAGAGTTACATTTCAATGGCTGATTGATAGCCACAAGAAACCAGGATTGATTTGCTCCATGTTACTCCAAAATATGTTTAGAAAACTGAAAGGCATGCATAAGGCTACAACTAAAAATGTGAACTGAGGCAAAAGTCCACCCAGTCTATCATTCTGCTTGCAACAGTGCTCGGCCAATGGCTTTGGCCATTTATAAATACAAAGAGGATGGCCACCACCTGTTCATTCCCACCATCTGGAATCCAGAGGAAGACTTGAAAAGTTAGTTTTTTGAACCCTGGTATGGAGAAGACAACAGCAAAGACAGTGGCTGCAAATTTCTGGAGTACTTGCCCCAAAAAAGTATCTTCTCCTCACTGCCTCTAGGACAGTGGTTCTCAACCTGTGGTCCCCAGGTGTTTGGGTCTACAACTCCCACAAATCCCAGCCTGTTTACCAGAATTTCTGGGAGTTGAAGGCCAAAACATCTGGGGACCCACAGGTTGAGAACAACTGCTCTAGGACATGGAGGTTCTGTTTACTTTCTAAATGATTCCATATAAAATTTATCAGTAAATCTCAAGTGTTTACCATATGGAGCAGGAAGATGTGCTGTCACTGGCTACCCAGAATGGAAGATCTTTAAGAGATGGAAGAGGATCTCTTTTTTACAAGTAGCTGAATCTAGAATTCAAGGGGCAAAACCTGACCTCCCATTCAACAGAATTAAGAAATGCCCTCTGACAGCAAATATTAGATGTCAAGAAATATTAGAATATTGTAAGCTATTTCATTTATGCCTACTCTTATCTTTGCGGCTACTAGGTAGGTAGAGAAGGAGCTATTGGATTTGCTGCCTTGCTTCCCAAAACAACGTGGCTGGATTTGGGAAGAGGGGAAAGGACAAAAGTAACTGTTCTAGCCCAGGCCCAAAAGTGTCTTAGGTCAGTCCTGATAATGGGTTATTATCACATCTTTGAATTTCCCTCCACTTAAGCTCCATTCATACAATCTTCAGGTCATTCAATGCTGCTAAAGACATTACATAGAAGTAGCTGCCTCCCTCTGTTCCACCAAACACAGAAACACCTTGTGGCACCTTAAACACCAACAGAATTATTGAAGTGTATGCTTCTGTGGGCAAGAGAGCCCCATTCCTCAGAGGCACAAGTCTGAATTATGTTGGCTCTTTTCACCTTCCACTTAAAGGCCAAATAAACTAGTATGAACAGATGGGAAAATCAATCTCTCTTTTCTACAGTTACTACTGCAGGGGGAAAAGTAAAAAAGAGGGAGAGAGACTCACATTCTCCACAAGGTGTGCTGTCTCCTTTAATTTTGAAGGTCAAACAGAGCATGGTAGCTTAAAGGACACAGACTAAGTAGTCCTGGTTCTTTACCATTGTGCTGCCATGAGCTACACCTTGTCCTTGGAGCCTCCACTAGTCATTCTCTCTCTCATATCTGCATACTAGTACACACATTTGTTCTGCATGTCTGATGTTGCAATTCAAATGACAAACTTTCATTGCTTAGTCTAAATATCTGATTTATAAAAAGGTCCTTTGATCTGGTCCAGGGTTTCTTTTTCCTACTCGTGACCTCTTTCTGCCTGGTAATTTTTGATGTGATTTTATGTATATAAGTATATAAAACAGGTATAAATATCAAACATTTACTGAAAATAAATCAGCATTTGCCAGGACTGCTAAACAGGCTGATTTTCCCTTTTGTGCTGTACGGATGAAACATTTTCTGCAGAGTCCACTGTAAACACTGCATGTTGTTGCTAACAGATTTGTGTAAATGGGTGACACTCAGAAACCTTTTACTGTTGCCAAATTGTTCATGACCCAACATTGAGCTAAGGGGACAATGCAAAAGTATGCCTAATTCTCACATTCTCATTTCTCACAAAACCTGTGCAAGACCAGCAGGAAAAATGCACATGACAAATGCAAGGTACCAACATGGTGTGGTGGCTTTATCACTGGACTCTAGAAAGCAGGGTTTGAATCCCTATGTGGCCATGAAATCCACTTGGTGACATTGGGCAAGTCACATACTCTCAGCCTCATAGGAAGATAATGGCAAACCTCTTCTGAATAAATCATGCCTAGAAAATCTTATGACAGGTTCACTTTTTTTCATGTCAGGAGCAATTTGAGAAACTGCAAGTCACTTCTGGTGTAAGCGAATTGGCCATCTGCAAGGATGTTGCCCAGGGAATGCCCAGATGTTTTACCATCCTGTGGGAGGCTTCTCTCATGTCCCTTCATGAGGAGCTGGAGCTGACAGATGGGAGCTCACCCTGCTTCCCGGATATGAACCTCTGTCCTTTTGGTCAGCAGTCCTGCCGGCACAGGGATTTATCCCATTGTGCCACTGAGGACTCCTACAGGTTTGCTTTGGAGTTGTCATAGGTTGGACGCAACTTGTAGGAACACAACAACAAATGCCTTTATACAACAAAGAAATAAAGAAGGTGCAAAAAAATAGATGATAATTCTGCAGACATTTCTGCAGATTCTTTAATCAAATAGCATCATCTGTGACAGACATGTTTGTGCAGGACAACACAATTCTGTAGGCCCCTCCTCAGTCATAAATCCCAATTAAATCGATGGGACTTACTCCCAGATGATCTATGTCTTTAGAAGACCCCCCCCCCCAGAAAAAAACCAGACTACTAGTGGAGACAAATAGTATTTTATGGAGCTAGTAATTGCAAGAATAGCTCTGATTTTTGAAAACAACTTTGACATCATGTTTTGTATTGACAGCATATCAGGTTTTTCCATCAACCTGCAGCTCACACACAACCTTACTGATGAAAACAACTCTGGTTGTGCCAAAAGGTTTGTACGAGCTCAACATCACCCCTAGCAGTACCCCAATGTTGTGGTTTCTAAGTTTGTGATGGCTAACTGTAAGAATAAGTAAGAATTGGATGGGTTCTCAAAGTTCACTTGACTTTGGCAATGCTGTCAGACAAATGACTTCTTCCAATTTTATGAGACTATTCCCAATTCCCATACATGGGCTTTCAAGGTTCTGGAGCTAATTGGGAGGAGAAGAACTTCATCTTGTGCATTACGTGAGATGACATTAAGGGGAAATTAAGAGTAGCTAGCTTCACAAAACCATAAACTCTACTTGTATGTCTTTTGAATAATTTAGGAGACAATCCTGTACATGTTTATCCAGGACCGGGAATCAGGCCAAGGGAACTCAAAGTGACTCTCCCCCCTCCCATCCCCCCAGCACTGCACTGTTAATAATAATAATAATAACAACAACAACAATAATAACAACAACAACAACAACAACAACAACAACAACAACAATAATAAACTTTATTTATACCCGCCTCGCCCTCCCCAGTGGGGACTCAGAGCGGCTTACATGGGGCCAAGCCTAGACAACATATTGCAGCAATAAAATCAAAACATAAACAACAAGCAACATCATCATCAACATCTCTTCACACAGAAATGGTCACTGTACAAGAACAGAACTTTTCGACCTGTTTAACCTTCAGAAGGCACACTATAAAACCACAATTAAGAACCTGAGATTTGATTGTATGTGGTTCCAAAGGGGTAAGATATATATATATAATCATTATTATTTTTATATATTAATTTTATATATATTCTACAAAATACAATTTCTATATATAAGTGGCAGTGACAGTACATTTTGTAATGAAATCACAGTTCAGATTGAAGAAGACACACTCAAGAATGGGTTCACACAAATCGGAATCCACAGGTGCACTTTCTGGGTGGAAACGTCACTGCAATCCCACATCCGCAGGGAAGCCTGAAGGTCCCCACCCAGCGCCGTTCCTTGGGTGGGAAGCTCAAGCAACACCCTTTGCCTGAGAAAGAGGCACATGGCAAGTGCTTGGGATGCCTGGGATGGGCAGGAAGGGTGAAGGAAGGCAAGGCTTTCCAAGGGGGAATCAACACTGCAAGCAGCTTGACACCACCTTAACTGCCAAGGCTCAATGCTATGGAATTCTGGGGGTTGAAGTTTTCAAAAAGGTCCTTAGCTTCCTCTTTGGCTGCTTTGAGTAAATGTTTTCTCCTTACATTAAGTCCAGTCGTGTCTGACTCTGGGGGTTGGTGCTCATCTCCATTTCTAAGCCGAAGAGCCAGCATTGTCTGTAGACCCCTCCAAGGTCATGTAGAAGGCTTTCATGGCCAGAATCACTGGGTTGCTGTGAGTTTTATGGGTTGTATATCCATGTTCCAGAAGCATTCTCTCCTGACATTTCTCCCACATCTATGGCAGGAATTTTCAGAGGTTGTGAGGAAACTAGGCAACTAGGTTTATATATTTGTGGAATATCCAGGGTGGGAGAAAGAGCTCTTGTCTGCTGTAATTGGCCAGCTTGATTGGTATTAACACTTCTCAACATAGGATCCCCCCAGGCAGGAAACATCCAGGCCTTGAAGCTGTCAGGCTATTCAATGCTAATCAAACTGGCCAAGTGCGACATTCACACTTGCCTCAGAGAAGAGTTCTTTCTCCCACCCTGGATATTATTCCAGAGCTATATAAACCCCACTTGCCTAGTTTCCAACAGACCTCACAATTGGGTTGCTTTGAGTTTTCTGGAACTGTATGGCCATGTTCCAGAAGCATTCTCTCCTGACGTTTCCCACATCTATGGCAGGCATCCTCAGAGGTTGAAGGGTCTGTTGGAAACTAGGCAAGTGGGGTTTATTTATCTGTGGAATGTCCAGGGTGGGAAAGAACTTTTGTCTGAGGCAGGTGTGAATGTTGCAATTGGCCAGCTTGATTAATATTAACACTTCCCAACATAGGATCCCCCCAGGCAGGAAACAGCCAGGCCTTGAAGTATCCAGGCTATTCAATGCTAATCAAGGTAGCCAATTGCAACATTCACACTTGCCTCAAATAGACAAGAGTTGGGTTGTTGTAGGTTTTTCGGGCTGTATGGCCATGTTCCAGAAGCATTCTCTCCTGACGTTTCACCTGCATACTGAAAAACTTACAGCAACCCAGTGATTCTGGCCATGAAAGCCTTTGACAATACACACAAGAGTTGTTTCTCCCACCCTGGACATTCCAGAGCTATATAAACCCCACTTGCCTAGTTTCCAACAGATCTCACAACTGGGTTGCTGTGAGTTTTCTGGACCTGTACGGCCACGTTCCAGAAGCATTCTCTCCTGACATTTCACCCACATAAATAAATAAATAAATTGTGAGGAAACTAGGCAAGTGAGGTTTATATATCTGTGGAATGTCCAGGGTGGGAGAAGCAACTCTTGTCTGTTTGAAGCAAGTGTGAATGTTGCAACTGGCCAGCTTGATTGGTATTAACACATTCCAACATAGGATCCCCCCAAGCAGGAAACAGCCGGGCCTTGAAGCTTCCAAGCTATTCAGTGCTAATCAAGGTAGCCAATTGCAACATTCACACATACCTTAAACAGATAAGAGTTGGGTTGTTGTAGGTTTTTCAGGCTGTATGGCCATTATCTAGAATCATTAATAGAATCATAGCGTTGGAGTAGACCTCATGGGCCATCCAGTCCAACCCCCTTCCAAGAACCAGGAAAATTGCATTTAAAGCACCCCTGACAGATGGCCATCCAGGCTCTGTTTAAAAGCTTCCAAAGAAGGAGCCTCTACCCACTCTGAGGCTGAGAGTTCCACTGCTGAACACTACAGCTCTCACAGTCAGGAAGTTCTTCCTAATGATCAGATGGAATGCTTCTAAAACATGGCCATACACCCTGAAAAACCTACAACCCAGTAATTCCGGCCACGAAAGCCTTCGGCAATACACATAAGAGTTCTTTCTCCCACCCTGGACATTCCAGAGCTATATAACCCCCACTTGCTTAGTTTCCAACAGACCTCACAACTGGCTTGTGAATTTTCCGTGCTGTAAAGCCATGTTCCAGAAGCATTCTCTCCTGACGTTTCAACCTCACAACCTCCGAGGATGCCTGCCACAGAAGTGGGCGAAACGTCAGGAGAGAATGCTTCTGGAACATAGCCTGGAAAACTCACTTTCCCATGTTCTCAACGGCAATTCCCACTTTCCTTCTCTTCTCGGGAACTTCTTCCAAGGGGGGACTTCTCCTCCAGCGCTTTCCTGGCGCAGCTGGGAAGGAAACAAACTTAGTCCGGATCCCGTTGGCAAGGGGCTAAACTAAAGAAAGAAAGCAGGTTTAAAAGGGGCTCCAGAGGGTGAAAGATTAGCTAGGCGATCAAAGGGGGAGAACGAAGCGGCTGCGGGCAGAGAAAGACCTCTCGGGGAGCCCCAGGAAGAGGAGGAGGAGGAGGAGGAGACCCACCTTTGATGCTGATGCCAAGGCCGCCCACGTCCTGCTTGACGATCCGGACGGTGCGCTTAATGTTGGTGAGGGCGTCCGGGACCAGGGCGGGCGGCGGGTCCCCGCCATTCAGTTGCCCGGGGCTGGACGGCGGCGTCTCCTCGGGCCCTTTCCCCGCTCCTCCTCCTCCTCCGCCGGGACTGACGCTCAAGAAGTCCTCGGAAAGGGCCAGCAGGACCCGCAACCACTGCTCGCCCGGCGCCCGCAGCTCCAGCAAGCCGCTCTTGGGCGCCCGCCGCCCGGCCGCCATCTTCAGCGCATTCCTTCCTCCCTCTCTCCCTTCCTTCCTTCCTTCCTTCCTCGCTCTGCCTTCGGTGGACGGACTCCGGCTCCAGCCCCGCCGCCTCTCCGCCTCTCCGCCCACCGAGCAACGCCCCCGGCGCCTCCCGCCCCGCGCCTCCACACCGAGGAACCAACGCGGGTTGGCACCGCTTTGCACTGCTAAGGCTCCATGCCCTGGAATCCCGGGAGCCGCACTTGGGCAAGGTCTCGCCCAATGACAACTGCCCTGATGCCATAGCGTCGAGCTAAGTAAAGCAGTGCCAGTGGTGCCAAACGGCATCGTGTTGCTCAGCCTTCCTGATGCCCCGCGACCCCTCCACACAGTTCCCAAACATCACATTATTTTCGTTGCTACTCCATAATTGTCTTTTCCTACTGTTATGAATCATAATGTGAATATCTGAGATGTAGGGTGTATTTTCATTCACTGGACCAAATTTGGCACCTGATACGCCCAATTATGAATACTACTGGGATGGGGGAGGATGATTTTGTCATTTGGAAGTTGTAGTTGCTGGGATTTATAGTTCACCTACAACCAAAGAGCATTCTGAACTCCACCAACGATGGAATTGAATCAAACTTGGCACCCTACCAACAGAAAGTACTGAAAAGGTTTGGTGGGCCACTGACCTTGAGTTTTGGAGTTGTAGTTCAACTACATTCCAAGAACACTGTGGACTCACACAATGATGGATCTTGACCAGCCTCGGCACAAATACCCAACACGCTCAAACTGGAATGCTGGTGGGGTTGGGGGGGATTGATTTTGTCATTTGGGAGTTGTACTTGCTGGGATTTATAGTTCACCTACAATCAAAGAGCATTCTGAACTCCACCAACGATGGAATTGAACCAAACTTGGCACACAGAACTCCCATGACCAAATACTGGAAGGGTTTGGTGGGCATTGCCCTTGAATTTTGGAGTTGTTGTTCACCTACATCCAGAGAGCACTGTGGTCTCAAACAATGATGGATCTGGACCAATCTTGGCACGAATACCAATATGCCCAAATGTGAACACTGGTGGAGTTTGGGGAAAATAGACTTGACATTTGGGAGTTGTAGTTGCTGGGATTTATAGTTCACCTACAATCAAAGAGCATTCTGAACTCCACCAACGATGGAATTGGACCAAACTTGGCACACAGAACTCCTATGACCAACAGAAAACACTAGAAGGGTTTGGTGGGCCATTGATCTTGAGTTCTGGAGTTATAATTCACCTATATCCAGAGAGCACTGTGGACTCAAACAATGATGGATCTGGACCAAACTTGGCACAAATACTCGATATGCCCAAATGTGAACACTGGTGTTGTTTGAGGAAAATAGACCTTGACGTTTGTAGTTGCTGGGATTTATAGTTCACATACAATCAAAGAGCATTCTTATCCATCTAACCCCATTTCTTATCCATCTAACCCCACATCCGTGAATCCAACCCCCATGGTGTCTGACGCCCCTCAATGTGGATCACATAACTACCCAGCAACTACCCATATGTCTTCTTTCATAAAATCTCTTTGTGGAAATCTTCAAATCTACCTTTGTCTTCTTTTCCTGATGTCCAAGCGCCAGCCTCCATTTGTTTGCAAATCCTTCATTATTTCTTCCTCTGCTACTATTTGTCAGCTTGGCCATTTGGATAGAATCTACTAATTTATCTCTCCAATCTTTGATAGCTAACTCTTTTTCCACCCTTCCATGTTTTAGCTATTATTAGTCTCACAGCAACAAAGCAATATTGATAAATTTCTTCATTTCTTGTGCAAATACACCTTCTAAATAGTCCTACTAACCACATTTCTGGGTTTTCCTTGACCTTTTTGTTAATCGTATTGTTTGTTTCTTTCACCACCTTTTTCCAGAATTCTTGAACTATTTTACAGGCTTTCCCTTTCATCTCCAGCTTTGGGAGGCAGCGTTCAATGCTGACCACAGGGAGTTACTTTTATTCCATTTCCAAGCTGAGGAGCCTGTTGTTTATAGACACCACCTGGTTTTGTTGCTGGCATGGTTGCATGGACGCCTTTATTACCTTCCCGTCAAAGCGATACCTATTGATCTATTCACAATTGCATGTTTTTGAACTGATAGGTTGGCAGGAGCAAGAGCTAAATTCAAACTCTACTGTCCTGACTAAACAGAACGAAGTGCCGCCTCCCAATGTTACTGTGTCCCACTTCCCATCAGGCCTAGTCATGATGTGGAAGGATGAGGGATGCAGTAATTGTAGTCCATCTGGAAGAGGGTCACATAAAATAGTTAGGCCTTTGGGCCTTATTTATTTATTTATTTCAATTACTTATACCCCGCCCTTCTCACCCCCGAGGGGGGACTCAGGGCGGCTTACAAACAACGGCACAATTCGATGCCTGAATCAATAAACAAACGATACCTACAACAATTTAGACAGTTAACAAGTTAAAAACATTAGTACATAATAAAATAACAAAACAATCTCATGCTCAGTGTTCAGAGTTCCGTGTATCCATTCCATTCCATTCATCCATGTTTGTCATCAGATCTTCCTTTAGCTGCCAGCATGTCCAAAAGCTTGGTCCCATATCCAGGTCTTCAGTTTTTTCCTGAACGTCAGGAGGGAGGACCTAATTTCCCTGGGGAGTGAGTTCCACAGGCAAGGGACCACCACTGAGAAGGCCCTGTCCTTCATCCCCACCAACCTCACTTGTGATATTGGCGGGGTCGAGAGCAGGGCCTCCCCAGATGATCTTAAACTCCGAGGTGGGATGTAGAGGGAGATCCGTTCGGACAAATACACTGGGCCGGAACCGTATAGGGTTTTGTAGGTTAAAACCAGCACTTTGAATTGTGCTCGGAATTGGATCGGCAGCCAGTGGAGCTGATGTAACAGGGGGGTGGTGTGCTCCCTGTACGTCGCTCCGGTGAGCAATCTGGCTGCTTCTCGCTGGACTAGTTGTAGTTTCCGAGCAGTCTTCAAAGGCAACCCCACGTAGAGTGCGTTGCAGTAATCCAACCGGGATGTGACAAGAGCGTGGACCACCGTGGCCAGATCTGACTTCCCAAGGTACGGGCGCAGCTGGCGCACAAGTTTTAATTGTGCGAAAGCTCTCCCGGCCACCGCTGAGACCTGGGGTTCCAGGCTCAGCGATGAGTCCAGGATCACTCCCAAGCTGCGAACCTGCGTCTTCAGGGGGAGTGTAACCCCGTCTAACACAGGCTGTAACCCTATACCCTGTTCGGCCTTACGACTGACCAGTAGGACCTCTGTCTTGTCTGGATTCAATTTCAATTTGTTAGCTCTCATCCAGTCCGACACAGCAGCTAAACACCGGTTCAAGGTCTGGACAGCCTCCTTGGTGACAGGTGGAAAGGAGTGACAGATTTGGACATCATCTGCGTAGAGATAACATCTCATTCCGAACTCCGAATGATCTCTCCCAACGGCTTCATGTAGATGTTAAATAACATCGGGGACAGAATTGAACCCTGTGGGACTCCACACAACAACGGTTGTGGGGTGAAACAGGTGTCACCCAATAACACCTTCTGGGTCCGTCCCTCAAGGAAGGATCGGAGCCACTGCAAGGCCTTGAGTTTGACAGGTGGAATAGATGCAGCCAAGATATCTGGTGGAAGAGTAGGGATCTGTCTGCTTGACCTTGGGAGATTTGGAGATTTTTTTTTCATTTCTGGTGTGACATTGCTCAGGAGACACCCAGATGTTTTACTATCCTGTGGAAGGCTTCTCTCATGTCCCTGCACGAAAAGCTGGAGCTGATAGATGGGAGCTCCCTGGATTTAAACCACTGACATTTCAGTCAGCAGTCCTACCGACACAAGGGTTTAACCCATTGCGTCGCCTTTGGAGATGCCCAGGAGCCTGAAATGGCCCCAAACAAGGCAGGCAGAGAAGGGCAAGGTGGCAGAGCTAAAAACTCACAAATAATAATCAAATCCACACAAGAGAAACCCACAAATATATACTGCCCTGTAAGATCTCCTGGTGGCACACAAGTCAAATCAATTTAAAACTCTTCAAATCAATGAACCTAATTCAAACAGTTTTTTAAAAAACCCAATATGGTGAGGGGCAACTTTATTTTGCCCTATAACATCTCAGAGTGATACACACTTTCAACCAGACATGGGCCAACTTGGGCCCTCCAGGTGTTTTGGACTTCAACTCCCACAATTCCTAACAGCCTCGGGCCCTTTCCTTTCCCCCTCAGCCACTAAAGCCTGAGGCTGTTAGGAATGGTGGAAAGTGAACTCCAAAACAACTGGACAGCAGAAGTTTGCCTGCGTTACACCAATTTTAAAACTCTTTAAAACAAGAGTCCTCATTTAAACAGACTAAAATATATATTCAACACTTTCAGCAAGTCAAAAATAGATTTAAAATACTAAAACGTTCTAGCTATGGGCTTGAATGTGTTAGAAATAAATCAACATGGCTCCAGAGGTACTAATAAACAGCCATGGTTGACTTTGTGCTGAAATGAAGCCTTCATTGGTCCTCCAAGAGAAGGGCATTCCACAATTGAGGTGCTTCCCCCCATATCTTTCCACAACATATTGATCAGCGAGAGAGGAAAAGGCCCTTCCAACAGAGCTCAAACACTGAAAGGTCTTGATAAAATGAAAACAATCCTTTTCAAGAATTCTTTTAACTTGTGGGTACTTCTGTTGCTACTATTGTTTAGATTCCGTGTTTAGAATGTTTTGCACTTCAGGAAATATTTCTGTGGTTTTATTTTTCTTTCTGTACACCACTCCCAAGAACACAATGTTACTGGGCAGTGTAAACATGGTCTGAATTACCACAAGAAGAAGATCTGTCCTCCGCTCGTCTACACCCCTCATTCCTCTCCCCCCCCCGTGTGCGTACCTACCTTGTGTGTGTTTCGGTTTTCTTGCGACTACTTGTCGCTTCTCACTATTCCGTTTTACATCCTATTTGCCAACAACCAATCCCATCTGATCTTCACACTAACTTCTCTTACACTTATTCCACTCTACCTCCCTCCCATTCCCTCCACCCCCCTCATAATTTCGTCAGTGTATCCCCCGAAAGTGTCTCCCCGCCACCACCTCTCCCC